GCAGCAGGCCGGGCATGGGGATACAGAACTTAAGACAGAGTCCCTGCCTTCAGGGGCTCTCAGTCTGGAACTCTCCATAATCGACTTTATATTCGTGTATTTATTTATTCAACAACTATGTGAATACCCATCATGTGACAAACACAGAACTTATATCTCCTATTCTCTTATTTGTCTTCTAACTACCACAAAGGTGAGACTTAATTCTTGAACTGCATTTAAAATATTTATAGAAAAATTCTTAAAAATGTTTTCTAAGATAAATGTTAGGAACCAAAATCATGTTTCCTAACTACTACTTATTCACCTATGAATTACATAACTGGACTGCTATATAAATTGACTCATTATGTTTTTAAAAAGGGGGGGTCGTTTGTTTGTTTGTTTTGAGAGAGAGTGTGTGTGTGTGTGGGAGGGGAGAGGGGCAGAGGAAGAAAGAGAATCTTAGGCAGGCTCCATACTCAGCACAGAACCCGACAGGAGGGCTCATTCCCACAATCCTGGGATCATGATCTGAGCCGAAATCAAGAGTTGGACACTCAACCAACTGAGCCAACAGGTGCCCCCCAAAAGAAGTTTTTAAGATTTCTCAATTATACAGGGGCGCCTGGGTGGCTTAGTCGGTTGAGCGTCCGACTTTCGCTTAGGTCATAATCTCACGGTTCGTGGGTTCGAGCCCCAGCTGACTGCCAGCTCAGAGCCTGGAGCCTGTTTCAGTCTGTGACTCCCTCTCTCTCTGACCCTCCCCTGCTCATGCTGTCTCTCTCTCTCTCTCTCCTAGAAATAAATAAAACATTAAAAAAAAATTTTAAAAATAAAAAAAAAAAAGATTTCTCAATTATACAAATCAATGGTAATACAGAATAATGAAATACAGTTGACCTTTGAATAACATAGTTTAATGATACATGGGTCCACTAATACATGGATTTTTTTCAATAAATACTGAACAACACTGTAATGGCATTTTTCTTCCTTATGATTTTCTCAGTAATGTTTTATTTTCTCTAGCTTACTTTATTATCAGAATACAGTATGTAATACATATAACATGTAAAATATATGTTAACTGTTTAGGTTATCAGTAAGGTTTCTGGCCAACAGTAGGCTGTTAGTAGTTAAGTTTTGGGGGGGTCAAAAGTTATACACGGCTTGTCAACTAAGCAGGGGGTCAGCGCCCCTAACCCCAGCATTGCTCAAGGGCTGACTGTACTGATAAAAAGCACTTTAAAATGTAAAACATGACTACCAGTTGACCCACTAATCCTACTTTTAAGACTCAATCCTGAACACACACACTTGCACATACAAGCATATATGTGCCTCTCCTGGCCCTAGAGGTTAGTGGAATCAGAATGCCGTGAAGTAGAAAGAGAAATCTACAAGGAAATATGTGTGGTATGATTCTATTTTGTTGCTTAAAAAGTATAAAGCAACTTTATGGATAAAGTATATAATTACATAAATACAAAGCAAAACAGTAGAAGGATACAACCACATTACTAACACTGGTTACTCCACAGTATAAAACTAGATGGAGAGAGAGACAATTTCCATATGTTCACTGATATTAGAGCACGTATCATTTTTGGATTTAAAATATGAAAAGTTTATTCTTTTAAACACATTAAAAAGGTTTTTGGTATGTTTTAGTTTGAACACAGGCATTAGTGTTAAAATTAACGGCTCAGTCAGTGAAGCATCTGACTCGATTTCGGCTCAAGTCTTAATCTCATGGTTGCAAGGTGGAGCCCCACATAGAGCTCTGCGCTGAGTGTAGAGCCTGCTTAAGATTCTCTCTCCCTTCCACCCTCATCCTGCACCCCTCCTCCACACTCCCTCTCTCTCTCAAAAAAAAAAAAAGGGGGGGGAGGGGACCTGGGTGGCTCAGTTGGTTAAGTGTCGGATGTCGGCTCAGGTCATGATCTCACAATTCATCGAGCCCGCATCGGGCTCTGACTGCCCGATGTTTGAGCCCCGCGTCAGGCTCTGTGCTGACAGCCAGCTCAGAGCCTGGAGCCTGTTTCAGATTCTGTATCTCCCTCTCTCTCTGACCCACCCCTGCTCACACTGTCTCTTTCTCTCTCTCTCAGGAATAAATATTTAAAATAATAAATTTCTAAAACTTCCACATACTAAATCGCCTTTAGGAAATATATCAATAATTTATCAATAATACCAGCAAACACTCTAAAAGCCCTAAGTTGAGAGCACTCTAAGATAAGTACTATTTCATCTGCCTTCAAAACTTGTGCAGTCATTCATAGACTATACTGGATGTGTTAGGCGTCTTATATCTAGTACTGTCAAGGAATGGGAGGGCTGCTATGATTCCTACACCCTAATATCTGTATAGCACTCTACAGTTTAAAAGCTCTTTGATACACATGAATCAAATGTTCCAGCTCGTTAGAAATCATTCAAATAAAATACATACACCTATCATAAACATATGTAACAATTTAATCTCTGATCAACAAAAAGGTGGCAAAACATGAACCTGAAATGTATGCTTATGAGCCATTATGAATATGGGTTACAACCATATAGCAGATGCCTAAGTATTTTCACAAATAGAAAACTATAGCTAAGAAACCACACAAAACCAAAAGCTCACTATAACTTTCATAAACAAAGGTCAATTTCTTTTAACAATCTATACTCAAGTGGACTTTGACTAACAGTTAAGAAGTAATCCACTCACAATTTTTTCTTACTACATCAATAACAAACATAGGAGGGGCACCTGGGTGACTCAGTTAAGCATCCGACTCTTGATTTCAGCTCAGGTCATGATCTCACAGTTTGTGAAATCAAGCCCTGCACTGGGCTCTATGCTGTCAGTTTGGGGCTTGCTTGGGATTCTCTCTCTGACCCTCCCTGACTCATCCCCCCACCCCCCCATCTTTCTCTCTCTCGAAAATGAATAAACATGAAAAAAAATTATAAACAACAAACAGGAAAATCTGAGCCTTAATCCTTGACAAATTATTTCTCACAACACTTGTTCCGCAAAGGAGGGGAGGGGAATACTTGGTAAATATGGTTTCACCTCGTGCAATGATGATTTTCCAAAAGGATTAATATATTATTAAAGTTTGATTAAGATAAAGTTTTTTTTAAGTTTATTTATTTTGAGAAAGAGGTTGAGAGAGAGAGAGAACGAGAGAGAGAGAGAGAGAGAGAGAGAATTTCAAGCAGGCTCCATGTTCCACGCAGAGCCCAAAGCAGGGCTAAATCCCAGGACAGTGAGATCATGACCTGAGCTGAAATCAAGATTTGAACACTTAACCAACTGAATCACCCAAGCTCCCAAGATAATTCCAGTTTTAAAATTGAAAAATCTATGGGGCGCCTGGGTGGCTCAGTCGGTTAAGCATCTGACTTCGGCTCAGGTCATGATCTCACAGTTCATGGGTTGGAGCCCCACGCTGGGCTCTGTGCTGACAGCTCACAGCCCAGAGCCTGCTTCAGATGCAGTGTCTCCCTCTCTCTCTCTGCCCCTTCCCCGCTCACACTCTGTCTCTGTCTCTCAAAAATAAATAAATATTAAAAAAAAAAGAAAAATCTAATTCATAAAATCTAACTAGGCACTCAAAATAACATCTATGCCAAAATGCCAAACACTAAAAATGAAAAATGTATTTCTATTTACTTTTAGATATGGCAAAAATGAACAAATCTTATGTTTTCTACTCACACAAGATTAAATAAATCTTTCCAAGGATAACATTCTATATAAATGAAGCCAGTACGGCATACTTTCAGATATTTAGGATAGTACAAATAGATTCTTTTCTCTGAGAGAAGAGAATGAAAAATAGGTCTGTTCACAAAGAAACAAGACATCATAAAATGAGTAAGAATAATAAGAGTTCAAGTCTAAGACTTAAATGAGGTTAAGTGGCAGCCAGAAAAGGCCACATAAAGCACATACATTTAAAACAGAGTCCAGGAGTGCCTGGGTGGCTCAGTCAGTTAAATGTCCAACTTTGGCTCAGGTCATGATCTCATGGTTCGCAGGTTAGAGCCCTGCCTCAGGCTCTGCTGCTGACAGCTCAGAGCCTGGAACCTACTTTGGATTCTGTATCTCCCTCTCTCTCTGCCCCTTTCCCCGCTCATGCTCTGTCTCAAAAATAAATAAACAAATAAACATTAAAAAAAAAAAAAAACAGAGACCAAATTTCACAATAAGAATGGGAATAAGAAATCACGTTAGGGCGCTCTCTTGAAAAAAAATTTTAAACTGTTTTTTAATCTCATACATAATAAAACTTAATCTTCTATATAATAAAATACATAATAAAATTCTATATGTAATTTAAAAAATAAGGTTATAATGATAAGTATGTGCTTATTCTTAGAATGTAAAAATAATGAATCAAATGTTCCTTTTGTGGCAAAACTTTTTCCAACACACTGGATGAGAGCCAATTCTACATCATCTGATTTTCACAGTGCAATCATAAAGAAGGATTTGGGGGTTCGGGAGGGTTTTTTGTTACATTTCTTCCCCCCAAACAAAGGCTACATAAAGCTTCCCAAATGTCTGTCCTTATATATTTTAATATTCACATCATCTCTTTTTAAATGCTTCTAACTCAAGGCCATCTTTGTTGGTCTGTCTCTTCTCTACTTTTTAACTGGTCCATTTGGTATGGTAACACCCAAAAATTATCTAAGGAGCTTATCACACAAAGAAAGCAAAGACAGATACACAGGCCAGGAGAAGCGGGGCTCTGGAATGGACACTAATTCTATTAGCGCACATCAGCGAATATTTGGCTTTCCTATACAACTCTTCCCGTAACCTCATACTGGAGGGACTTGGATAATGAATTCTCCGCTAACGAGAAACCCCCGTATTTGTATTCTCACTCCCTGCTTAGATAACAAGAGGGGATGTACATCCTGGTCTGAACATCTTAGGATATGTAAAATATATCTTGGTCAGGACCACATTATAAATGGCTTTTTTAAAATGCAATAGAATACTGTACCAAGGTCGTAAGGGAGTTCCTTTTCATATAGAGCCTCTCCAAGTACTGTAGTCCCTCATCTTTCAGTAACTCCAGTGGAAAATGGTGCAGATTCCTATAGTTTAAGAACAAATTCTTGTGCTTTTCCAGCCTTGCCACAGAGATCGTCTTACAAAGTTCAGATGCCATGACTGAATACATCCCATCAGGCACGCTGCAGCTCTACATCGTGTCAAAATTGGTCCATTTCTAAAGAGAACAAGAAGATTGAACAATTATGATAGTGCTCATAAGCACTGTCAAATAAACCAGTTAGCACACCCAGCTATTTGCAAACACTAAAGACAGAGTTACACATTCAATCCCTGTATTCTTCCTTCATAATGACTGAATTTGTCACACATATTTAGGAGATTAGATAACTATTTAATTAAAATACTCTCACTATTGAAGCTGTATGTACCACTTGGCAGCAACAGTGCTAATTGAAAAAATAGTTCTTGAACTTGAGATAAGAATGCCTAACAGAACAGACATTAATTTCATAACATGCCCCCAAAGAAAGCTTAAAAATCAGACAGAGCAACATTTCCTTCTTGAGCTAACTCGTTTTATGTGCGGCTTGAGGTATTTCAAAAATATTGCCAAATACATACAAAACACAGACCACTTACAGTTTCGTTTTCTTCATTTCTTACTATGTAAATATTCTAATTTTTTTCTTCCTTTATCTCTTTTTTTTTTTCTCATTCTTAACTTTGTAGATGATCAGAAGCAGTAAAGAAACAGGTCCAGGAATATAAAGTTTAATTATTTCAACTAAAGAAGAAATACTGTGCTAGAAAACAAGAACCTTGTATTATCTTTTCGGGTCTCAGTTGCCTAACGTACACAATGGAGACTGCAATTTATTGGTAAAGGCCAGAACCCAGAACAGAACCCAGAACTCCCTTCTAGCTTTGAAACTGACAGGGTAGGAAGAGAAATAACATTTGCCCTCTTATCAATGAGGCACACAGCAGAAACAAACTTCACAATCACTATACTAACACAAGAAGAAACAAACTCAGAGCTTCAACACTTTTATCCAAGGCCAAATGGCTCATAAGGGACACAAGCAAGGATTTTTGGGGGTTTTTTTCCTTTGGGTAGAGATGAGGGTGTCCCGTGGATTTCAAAGCCTGGGTTCTTCACAGGATTCCACAGGATACTAAGGAAATGCAAAAACACTAAGAGGTTGAGCTCTGAGCAAAGGTTCTACCTCATTTTCCTGGGCATTCTTTCTCGAACTTCCCAACTGAACGTGCCTTTCAAAGAAAACAAATTTTTTTCTTAAGAAAAACCTATTTTCACTGGGAATTAACACAAAGTTAATTGGTTAGCGCAAAATGTGGTAACATAAGCTTTCCATTAGCAGAGTTTTGTAACTTTTGGGGTTATTTTCTATTATTTCCAAATTCCCAATTCCTATCTAATAAGAAAGCACTTGCCATTTTATCTAAAAGGGCAGACAATGTGGAATATTCAATAATATCCCCAACGCGACATTACAACTCAAAACTCTGCCATACAGATTCTACCTACACGCTTAACCTTTTTATGAGACATATGTCACTTTGAACAACATATTCCATCTTTCTACATCTTAATTCTCTCACCTGCAAAGCAAAAGGGAACTAAACCAGAAATAACATGGATGATTCTGTGTGGAAAGAGAAGTTTGCTTGGTTATTATTCACTGAAAGAGTAAACTGGAAACAGGTTAGATGGCTCACAAGTGCCGCAAACTTAAGCCATTTTTTTGCTTTTCATCAGCAATCCGAATTCTCCACAGCGTTTCTCATCTCAGTAAATGGCACGCACATTCCTACCCACCCAGCGGCAGGAGCCAGAAAGCTGGAAGTCAGGAATGAGCCCACCCTCCCACTCAGCTGGTACCTCCAATGTATCTTAAGGCGGTGGCTTCCATCTCTGAAATACATCTCAAGTCCATCCACATGTCTCCACCAGCCAAAACCAAAAGCCACTCTCATCTCTGGCCAGGGCCTCAGTATTACTGGTGTCCACCCTACATATTTTCTAATATCTTAATCACTTAGCAGTGGGCCTTTAAAAATAACTCCCATGGTCTCCTCTCAGAAAATTCACTCCCTAGTGCACACAAATGAACTAAATACAGCCTTCCAGAGTTTTTGTTTGTTTGTAGAAAATCAAGCTCTTACAAAGCTTTGAGGGCTCCTCATAATCTGGCCCCTCCATCCCATTTCTCCAGCCTTATATGGCAGCACCCTTCCCTGGCTTCTCACCCAGCTCCTGGGTTTTTCTAGTCCTTTTTTCCTAGTCTCTTTCAAAAGCCAAACTCCTCACACCACTTGCTGCCTCTCCTCTTAGCCTGGAAAGCACTGTCCCATCAACCTTTGGTTTTCAAAGTAAAAATCACTGTTCTCTTGTTACTCTTTTTTATATGTAGGCCTCCTCACATTCCGGAATCTAAATATTTATTGGTGTATCTATCATCAATCTAGCAAACAGACTGTAAGCTCCTGAGGACAGACATCTGGCTCTTTCTTAACTCTTGTGTATCTGCCTGTGCACAATATCTAGCACAAAGCAGGAGCCCTCAAACAGCTGATAAGTGGATGAAAGTAGGGCATATTAAGACTGCAAGGTAGATTTTTTTTTCACTTTCTAATCTTTGGTCATTTGGTAGATACTATATCCTGAGTGCTTGCTAAGTACTATAAACATCCCTAATCCGTACAACTACACATTGCAATAGACATTATTTAGCCTGTTTTACAGATAAGGAAACTGAGTCTCTCAGAGGGTAGCTTGCCAGAATTCCAACCCAGGTGGACCGACTCCAAAGCCTGTGCACTGCCTTACAATATAGCCTTTCAGGCACTTCGATGTTCAACGGGGCGTTTCTTGCCTATTATTAAATTTAAGTGGTAGGCAAAGTTTATACAAATGTAAGGCTACAAAGGAAAACTATATCCAAAACCCACCTTCACTGATGGAAGATCCAATAAGAGAATTCAATGTAACCTAATTGTTTTCCCTCTGAATCCTGACGGCTGGGATTGGGCTGCCTTTAAAACATCATTACACCCTGCTAAAATACATTTTGCTACAAAGGCAGTTTGGGAGATCAAATCTACATAAATGAAATCTGAAAGGTGCCAATAATAAAAAATGCCAATGGTTTTCCAAAAACGCATTCATTGGCAAGATACAGCCTTTACCAGGATGGATAATTTTCTTACACAAATTCCCTTCACTACCTCTTATCTACTAAAGATAAATGGGATACTTAAAGATATTAACGGTATACAAGTATACCTCCACAAGTTTTCTGACAGGTAAACACCAGCCCACTTTATTATTGTTTAAAACAAGTAAACAAATCCTCCCACCTTAAGAAAATGTCACACAGTTTAAGCAGGTGTGTGTAAAAGGAAACCCTCAGACTGACTTCCGTATTTAATCCGGTTGAAGACCCACTCCAGTTTTCTAATACTGGAGAGATTAGAGAATTAAATATTGTATATTAAAAGCATTTGTAAAAAAACTGTTTTCCCAGTAAGTCTTGGGCAAAACACCTGCCGCTTTGCCAAACCTGCCGAGTTAACCAAACACTAAGGTCGTTACGGTTGGGAAGCTGCGAGCCCAGGGGCAGGGATTTCACAGACCCGGTATCGGAATTCTGCGGCCACGGAAGGCGGGGAGGGGCCGGCAGCTATGGCGACCCGAGGCCGGGGCGGGCCCGCTCGGGGCAGGGACCATTCGCCGCTGCCCTGACGCTTTTGCCGGACCCAGAGTGCTGGCCGGGAGGTCGGGCCAGGGGGCCCTCGGTACGCGAGCCACCCGATGCAACAGACAGCCGCACTCACCTCGGCGCCGCCGGAGCCAGCGCTCCGGGCGCAGGCGGCGCTGGACTGCCTGCGGAGGGTCGGCGAGAGGGGCGGGGCGCCGACGGCGGGGGGCGGGGCGGAACCCGTGCTCCTGAGAGTTGGGGATGGAGAGGAAGACGCAACATCGCGATAATTCTCCCCTGTTCTCGCGGTTTCAAAACCCCTTGGACGAGATGTTCGCAAGCACTGCGCCTATTGGCCAAGAGCTCTGCTTCCTCCAGACTGGACTCGCCTGTAGCGTAACTTTGGCTTCCGGCTCCGGCTGGCGCACGGAGAGCCCCTTTTCCCTCTGCTCGTTGGGGGACCAGTTTAGCCCTCTCCAGCCTTGGGAGTTGCAAGTTACTGATCTGTTCTTTCTTTCTCTTCCTTCCTTCCTTCCTTCTTTCCTTCCTTCCTTCCTTCCTTCCCTTTTCACTCGCGCTCTCACTTATTGTATACATTAAGGAATTACCACAACAGGAGTAGCACTGAGCGCTTACTGTGTACCAGGCAGCATTCTAAGAGCTGTGCATAATCTCTCTAAACCCTCATAGAAATCTCATGACACAGGTATTAGTACCATACTCGATTAACGAATGAAAATCTGATGTCTAGTGGGTTTATGTAATACGGCCAAGGTTAGTTTTCAAGAGGTGAGTCTTAAGCATGGGATTTAAAGGCTCAACTGTGCGCGCAGAGGTAGGTAACCTAGCTCTGTTCTTGAAATACCTAAGGTCTATTGGGTGAAAAGACCGCTAAAAAGGACACTAACAGCTTAGTAAATTAACAAGGCAGTTCCTAGCTTGACTGAGTAGGCCGTCGATAAATCTTCAAAGCGAGAATTCCTATGTCTGCGGAAAGATACGTCGAGGAAAGAGTATTATGCTAGTAAAATTAAAAAAAAAAAAGTAACAATAATAATAATTCCAAACATTGCTAGGGAACATTTTAAAAACATTTATTTTTTAAATATTATGTTTGTTAATATAGCAGCTTCCTTTCTGGGGTTCATTTCTTTAGAAATGAAGGGTTTTTTAAACTTCCTCTCATAAATCTGTCATTCATTGTTCTTTGAAAAGCTTGATGCTGATTAGTTTATTAGCGATCCTTTGCCAAACTACGTTGACTTTATAACTAGTTTCCTGTTGGTTTAATTACTGTTAGAGATGAGTAATCTCTAAAGCAAAGTAATACTAAATGAAAATAACTTTTTTTCCAAGACAAGGTATGATTTATAATGAAATACCAATTACCTATTTATTAAACCTGGCTTTCAGGAGATTACTGAAGTATATGGCATGGTGAATGTCATGTACTTTAGGAACTTTTATATAAATTTCTAGATACCTAAGAATTTGTAGTACTTAGGAATTTTTTGCTAGACTTGTAATGAGGAAACCTACAGCTTATGTAAAAACAAAAATATTCAGGTTATTAAGGATCAACCTAAATAATAAGACTTGCTCCGAATATTGGAAAGTGACCCCAAAAGTGACTAACAATAGGACAACATCTTAAAAGCAATCAATGTTAGCCACTTAGTTTTCATTTCTTAAAAACAAAGGAAACATTTTAATGCATTAATTTAACATCTGATTTCTTAATTAAAAATTTTTAAGTTTATTTATTTATTTTGAGAGAGAGAATGAGCGGGGAGGGACAGAGAGGAAGTGGGGGACAGAGGATCCAAAGCAGGTTCTGTGCTGACAGCTGAGAGCCGCAGCATAGCTGGAATTCTGGACCCTTGACCTGAATCCAAGTCAGATGTTTCAATGACTGAGCCACTAGGGCACCTCTAAAATCTGATTTTTTTTCTTTTATATAGATAGATATAGATCGAGAGAGAATTTATTAAGTTAGCTAACATACAGTGTATACAGTGTGTGTGCTCTTGGTTTAGGGGGTAGATTCCCATGATTCATCACTTACATAAACAGCTAGTGCCCCTCCTAGCAAGTGCCCTCCTCAATGCCCATCACCCAACTGCCCCCTCCTCAGCCCTCCCCCATTAACCCTCAGTTTGTTCTCTATATTTAAGAGTCTTTTATGGTTTGCCTCCCTTTCTGTTTGCAACTATTTTTTTCCCCTTCCCTTCCTCCATGGTCTTCTGTTACGTTTCTCAAGTTTCACATTCGAGTGACAATATAGGATACCTGTCTTCCTCTCACTGACTTATTTCACTTAGCATAATACCCTCCAGTTCCATCTGCGATGTAACATCCTATTTTTCATCATAAAAACTGAGTTATCTTTAAATAACTTCCACTCCCCTGAAATTGATATTAAAAATAGCCAAGGGATTCTGTGTCAGAATGTTAGTTTGAAAGTGTCGATTTTCACATCCTGCCTCACTCAAAACACTCAAAATTCTTTAATCTAGCGATTTTGCAATCTTTGACAAACTTTTAACATCAACAGGCAGCGATACCACTTTAAGAAAATTCCAAGGAAAAGACAACCCCATTTTAAAATTCCCACCTCTGGCTCCCCCGGATTGGGTTGCAAACTTCCACAAAATACTATCCTCCACTCCCTATTGGTGCATGCTCTATCATTCATTCTTCGCCTGGAGTTTTGTGAGCTACCAGGTTGCTTTACGGGAAAAGGCTGCTATAATTTAGTCTGCAACTGCTCTGCTTTAGACTTTTCCATGGTGATTAATCTGTACAAAGAATCACCAAACTGATATAGCGGGAGCCAAACTGGCAAATCAGGCTGTGGAGACAACTGTGTAATTCGCTCGAAAAAGAAACAGAGATCCTCTCCTGCGTACCCGGTAAATGGACAAAGGATTTTACGACACAGAGATTTGAGAGTTAAAGAAACTTTTCCGGTTTTTTGATAGTTTTAAAGGAGTAAGTGTCAAAGGAGAACCAGATAAAATAACAGGCATAATCGGAGCAGGAAAGGAGTTTTCAGAAGCTGTTTTTAGGGTGAGATTGGAAGAATGTTATTTCCAAATAATCAGTGAATTTTTGAATGGTACAGGGAACAAGGTAATAAGATTAATTATAGATTATTGTATTCCCTAAAAAGCTTTGATTTATTGTTGTTGTTTAATATGGATTTAGACGGACACTTAGTAATATTATTGTAATTTTTAAGTGAAATGGATATTTATACTATCATACCTATCATAAAAGACAATCATAATATAAGATAAAATTAGAATTGGCTTTGGATCCAAATTTTATGTATATTTGTTGATTAGGTAACTCAGAGACAAATCTGCTAATGACTAAGGAAAGCATAATATTGCTATATGAATCAGAATCAGTCGGTGATAACTGTAAGGATAAAGTCTCAAAAAAGAAATCCAACATTTATATTTTCAAAATGATATTTTCATTAAAATTATGAGGGACGTCTGGTGCATGGATAAACAAAATATGGTATTGTCCACTTGATAGAATATTGTTTGGCAATGAAAAGAAATAGAGTACTGATACATGCTACAACATGGAAAAACTTCAAAAACATTACGCTATAGCCAGAGGCAAAAGACCATATACAGTATGCTACCATTTACATTAAATGTCCAGACAAGGCAAACCTATAGAAACAAAGTTTATTAGTGGTTGCCTGGCCTGGGGTAGGAGTGGAAGTGCCTGCAAATGGGCACAAGGTATCTTTTTAGGGTGATGGAATTTTGTAGAATTCGAACGTGATTAATACTTGCACAACTCTGTACATTTTCTAAAAAAAAATTGAGTTGTACCTCAAAATGAGTGAATTTTATGGCATATAAATAACACCTCACTAAAGCCATTAAAAACATGGCTTTCACATGTCCCTATCCAGTTGTTCAAGCATCATTTGTGAAAAGGACTATTATTTCCCCCTTGAATTACCTTGGTACTCTTGTCAAAAAATAATTAACCAAGGCGCATGGGTGGCTCAGTTGGTTAAGAATCCAACTTTTGATTTTGGCTCAGGTCATGATCTCACGGTTTGCCCTAGGTCAGTCTCTGCACTTACAGTGTAGAACCTGCTTGGGATTCTCCTCTTTCTCTCTCTGTCTCTCTGCCCCTCCCTCACTTGCATGAGTGTTCTCTCTTTCTCTCTCTCAAAATAAATAAATAAACTTTAAAATAATAGTAACAATAATGATGATGATGATTGACCTTAAGTGTAAGGGTTTATTTCTGGACTGTCAATTAGATTCCACTAATCTACATGTCGGTCTTTATGCCAGCACCACACTGTTTTGATTACTGTAGCTTTGTAGTAGGTTCTTAAAATGGGAAGTATGACTCCTCCAACTTTGTTCTATTTCAGATTGTTTTAACTATTCTAGGTCTCTTGCCTTTCTGTGTGAATTTAAGGTCAAATTATATACACACCAAAAAAAGCAACTGAGATTTTGATAGGGGTTACATAAAATCTATAGATCAACTTCGAGGGCATTGCTATCTTAATAATGTGAAGGCTTCTAATCCATGAACATGGAATAGATCTCATTTATTTAGGTCTCCTTTGACTTCTTTCAGCAATATTGCATAATATTCAGTGAGCAAGTTTTGTACTTCTTTTGTTAAATATATTCCTAAGTACTTTATTCTTTTCGATGCTATTGTGAGTGGAAATGTTTTCTTAATTTCATTTTCTGGTTGATAGATATGTAATTTTTGTTTATTTTGTATCCTCTGATCTTCCTGAAATCGTTTAATAGTTCTAGTAGGATTTTGTTATTGTTTTTGTTTTGTTTTGTTTTGGTGTGTGTGTGTGTGTGTGTGTGTCTCCCCTAGAATTGCCTACATATAGGATCATGTCACCTGATAATAAAATTTTGTTTCTTCCTTTCTAATCTTCATGCCTTTATTTCTTTTTCTCATTTTATTGCACTGGATAGAATATCCATTACAGTCTTGAATACAAGTGGTACAGCAAACATCCTTGCCTTGTTTCCAATCTCACAAGAGAAGTATTCAAACATTCACCATTAAGTGTGATGTTAGCTTTAGGTTTTTTCGTTTTTGTTTTTGTTGCTGTTTAGTTTTTATTAGCCCTTTATCAGGTTAAGGAAGTTTTATCATAAGCAGATGTTGAGTTTTTAAGTGGTTTTTTTCTGCATTTATTAAAATGATTGTGCAGATTTTGTCTCTTGTTCTATTAATGTGGTGCATTACATTAATGATTTCAGATGTTAAACTAAATTTACAGTCCTGGAATAGAGCTCCCTTGGTCATAATATATAATCCTTTTTATATGTTACTAGGTTTGGGTTTTGTTTTGTTTTTTAAGTTTATTTATATTGAGAGCGAGAGAGAACAGGGCAGGGGCAGAGAGAGAGGGAGAGAGAAAGAATCCCAAGCAGGCTCCACACTGTCAGCATGGAGCCCAAATCAGAGCTCAAACTCATGAACCTAAGCAAAACCAAGAGTCAGAGGCTCAACTAACTGAGCCACCCAGGCCCCCCTAGATTTGTTTTTCTCATATTTTGTTGAGGACTTGTGTTCACAATCATCAAGGATATTAGTTTATTGTTTTCTTATGTCTTTGTCTGGCTTTGCTATCAGGATAATATTGACCACATAGAACGAGTTGGAAGGGATTCCCTCTATTTTCTGAGAGAATTTGCAAAAGATTCATATCTTTTAAAAAAAAGATTCTTTAAAGGTTTATTAGGATTTGCCACTGGAGTCATCTAGGCCTGGGCTTAGCTCTGTGTGAATATGCTTAGGTTTTTGTTTGTTTGTTTTTGTTTTGTTTTGTTTGAGAGAGAAGGAGAGAGAGAATCTCAAGCAGACTCCACACCCAGCATGGAACCCAATAAGGGGCTCGATCCCACGACTCTGGGATCATGACCTGAGCCAAAATCAAGAGTCAGACACTCAACCGACTAAGCCACTCAGGTGCCCTACTTTGTGTAAATATTTGAAATTACTAACATAATTTATTTACTTGTTATAGTTCTATTCAGATTTTTAAATTTCCTTTTTATTCAGTTTGGATATTTTATATCCTCAGATGTTTTCCTATCTCAGCTTTTTGATGCCTCCGCTTACGTAGGGACAAGGTTGCTTTTTAACTGGTACACTCTCATACAGTCATAATGGTTGTTATTTTCCAGGAGCCACTGCCCTGGGGGCTCCTGCCCCTCCCTCAAGTTTCCCTACATCTCCCCACAAGTCAGCACCCAAAGGTTAACACCTATAACAGCAGGGGACCTTCTGAACCTATTTCCAGCATAGTTTCCACCTATACAGATTGGTTGGTCCTCCTGCTACACCACTTATTAAGATTTTGAACATCATCTCTTAGAAATGGAAGACTGAGACCCCACATCAGACCTCTTCTTCCTCCCATTTCGATCTGTGGCTGATCATATACTTCAGCATTCTACTGGGCATGTCTGGCAGAAAGAAGAGCATCAATTGATTGAGTATGTCTGACTGGCAGTTGTAGGTACTGATTTGGAAGCCTCTCCCAAGGCTGGCAGGGAGAGGGTGGTGTGTGGGGCCTGGGCTGCTGTCTAATGAAAATTTAAACCCCGGCTATGGCTATTACAAAGAAAAGAAAAGTGGCTGATGATAAGCATGTAGCTCCAAGTAAGTGAACGGAAGAGTGTGTATTTGTATTAAGAGTGTTCCTATATGATGCAAGGCACGTTGAAATGGACACTTATTTAAAACAGGGTCATGGATTCAAATGTTTCCAGAAGCCAGTCAGGTAACATGATTCAGTTAATTTGTTCAGAGATGCACATTTTGGTATTTAAACATCTCTGGAATTGGAATGCATGTTACGATTGATAGCAAGTCATAGTTTAATAGCAGTGTTGTTTTTCTTAGTGATTATAAAATGGTATATCTTACAATCTTATATAAGTGATGGTTTAGATTAGGTTCAACGTAGGAAATGAGTGACAAGTGACATGAGCCAGGAAAACCATACCGCTTTATGTCAGCCTTTCACTTTGAAAGAAAGGTATGGTGGGGAACCTGAGTGGCTCAGTCGGTTAAGTGTCCGGCTTTGGCTCAGGTCATGATCTCAGGATTCGTGAGTCCAGGCCCCACATCAGGCTCTGTGCTGACAAGCTCAGAGCCTGGAGCCTGCTTCAGATTCTGTGTGTCTCTCACTGCTCCTCCCCTGCTTGAGAGCGCATGCATGCTCTCTCACTCTCAAAAATAAACATTAAAAATTTTTTTAAATAAATAAACATTTAAAAAATAAAAAATAAAACTTCAACGAACATTTGTGCATAAGTCCTTTTGTAAACATATGGTTTCATTTCTCTTGTGTTAATGTCTAGTACTTAAGTGAATCATGTGCCTAGGTATGTATTTAGCTTAGGTTTTTATTAAAATTTTTTTTAATGTTTATTCATTTTTGAGAGACAGAGAGAGACAGAGCGCGAGTGGAGGAGGGGCAGATATATTTAGCTTATTAAGAAACTGCCAAATTGTTTTCCAAGGTGATTGTAGCATTTTATATTCCTATCAACAGTGTGTGAGACTTCTATTCCACCTCCTCACCAATGCTTAGTAGTCTTTTTAATTTTAGTCATTCTGCTTGTTACAAGTGACATCTCATTATGACTTTAACTTGTATTTCCCTAATGACTAATGATGTTGAGCATCTTTTCATGTGCCTATTTGTCATTGATAGATCTTCTTTAATGATGTGTCTGTTAAAATATTTTGCCCATTTTTAAGGCGAGCTATTTGTTTTCTTAGAGTTAAGTTTTGAGAGTCCTTTACACATTCCAGGTACATGTCTTTTATTAGATACATACTTTCTCCCAGCCGGTGGCTTGTCTTTTCATTCTCTTTA